CAACATGACTTTCTTTAAAGGGGAATAGCAACATAGGGGGCCATTTCTGGCAGGATCCTGCCCAGGACTGGTTCTTTCATAGTTTCATAGTTAGTAGGGTCTGAAGGGACCTGAGCAGATCATCAAGTCCGACCCCCTGCCATGGCAGGATAGAGTACTGGGGTCAAACGACCCCAGCAAGGTGATTGTCTAGCCTTGTCTTAAAGACCCCCAAGGTAGGAGCCAGCACTTCACTTGGAAGTTGGTTCCAGATCCTAGCTGCCCTGACAGTGAAGTAGCACCTCCTGATGTCTAATCTGAATTTACCCTCTGCCAGCTTGTGACCGTTATTTCTAGTCTGTCTAATGCAGTTTGATATTTTTTATCCAAGACACAGATGTTAATATAAAATCTCTGGCAGTTTGCAGACCAAAATACCAGGGTGGCAGATAATAAGGCAAACAGATTACTGTTACAGAAGGATGTAAATCATTTGGTTAAATGTTCCCATTTTCACAAAATGCATTCTAATTCAGCCAAATACAATCAATGGGGGAACCAAGAATGCAGATTATGCAGCATACAGGAAGATGGGAAACTCTGTTCTGGAAAACAAAAAAGGACTTGAATTATGGTAAGTAATTACTTCAGTAGGTGTTTTTATTGCCATGCTATGACAAAAACAGCTAATACAATCTTTAGATGCATAAAAAAGAGCAATACAATGTAAAAGACAGGATCTTGCCTCAGTAGAGAATTGGTAATACCACTACCAGAAAACCATACCCAGTTTTTCTGTTCACATTTCAAGGGGGCAGGCAAATTTTAATGTCTTGTAATTTACCGGGGGGGGGGGGGGGCAAGATATAAGATGACGGTTTCTTTTGCCTTTGAACTCTATGAAGTTATCATTTGCCAAGGGACAGAGCACTCCTAGATATGACTGAAGTCAACAGAAGCAGGGTTGAGAACAGAAAAATGCTTTAAATTCCTCAATGGAAGAAATTACAATATAGGCGTGTCATATCAGGCACTCGAAATTAGCTGATGCTTTTGAGTCATGCGTGTACTCTCTGAGCGGGGCCACAGCAAAGTCAAGTGAGGGCTGCTTGCCCCTAGACTGAACCATAGGGCTGGAAGAGACCTTAAGGGTCCACGGCTCCAAACGACCTGCTACAAATTCAGGACTGCTTCTCCTACTCGTCCCTGGCCAAAGCTTACACAGCCTCCTTTGGACACCTCCAGTGAGGGAGACCCCACAGCAATTTCCCTGGGCCGCTGATGTTAGCGCCTTGAGGTCCCAACAGGAGGAGTCGGAGTTAAGCCGGCATTTCCAAACCCGCAAGCATTTTGCTTTGTGATCTGAACAGCGCTTGTGCAGTGCAGAGTGAAGAACAATGCGAGGGTCTGCTTCACTGCAGTCACACACCCACTGCCCCACAGCCGGGACTGCCGGCACAGCGCAAGAGACTCGCTCTCCTTCTCCTTCTCGTCCCCCAGGTTACCACCCATCTAACCAGCCCTGTCCCACTAGGGACTACTCCTTGATGTCCCCCTCCCTCAGCCTGTAACCATGGCACCCCGATCCCATGATGCTCCTCTCCCCTCAGCCTGTAACCATGGCACCCGGACCCACCCCCTCGCTCCGGGTCCCACGAGGCCCCGCCCCCCGCACACGCGGCCAGAGGCGGGGCAGGGGGCGGGGCCGGTGGGCACTAGTGGCGCGTGCGCATTAGCGCCTGACGCGTGTCGCGCTTGCGCTGCTGAGGCCCCGGACACGTTCGCACGAGTGCAGGCCGCTGCCGCCCTTCCTATCGCCATGTCGGACCGGCTCAGCAAGCCCACGTGCCTCATCGTCGCTAGCGCGGCTGCCGCCGGTGAGTGGCCTCCCGAGCCAACCCTGCTCCCGCACACGGGCACTGCGCATGCTCCATCTTCCGCCCCCGGGTAGTGCGCATGCTCTGTCCTCTATGACTCCCTCCCGTGGGCAGTGCGCATGCTTCTCCTCCCTCGCAGGCAGTGGTGTGGGGGTCCCCTGTGCCGCCTTCCCCCGGCGGGCATTGCGCATGCTCCTGAAGGGCAAGCCTCTGAGGCCACGTCCTGGGCGCGAGCCAACTCTCGGCGGGGCTGGTACCCCGTGGCCCTGCAGCCCCCCCCTGGGTTGGGAGGGTTCCGGCCCCAGCTGCTGCGCCCAGGCCTTGACCTGCCCTGCCCTGCTTGCTTTGGCTGGGGCACGTCCACGGTACAGGTGTCCGTGTCCGTCCCTAACTTGCCGCAGTGCAGCAGATGCCCATCAATTCTGTGGGGCGAGCTGTGGGCGGCTTGGCTGCTGCGAGGGACTCCCCTGAATAGGCCTTGGCTGCTGCAGTGATCTTCTTGTTCCTTGTCCTGGTGCTGGGGAGAGTCCTGGCTGTGGCACTTGGAGCCACTTCAGTCTGCCTGGATACCCAGGCTGAAGGCTGCCTGAAGGCAGGGAAAGGTAGTGTGGGCCAGCCCTGGTGGCAGGCATGCTACAGATAAAGCTCTGTGCCCTCCCTGAGCATCCCTGCAGTCGCCTGCCCTGCTCACTTCTTTGCTTTCTGCTCCCTGACAGATCTGTTATTGGATCCCCTGCCTCCTCCCGCATGCCACTCACAGAGGCTGCCTTTACCACTTGTGGTGCCCGTGGCAGGGGTTGGCCACCACTGCCGTAGTCTCATAGTTATTATCCTGTCTTCTGACTTCAGACTTACCCCACCTAACTACTCCTCTACATCTGTAAACTGAGGCTAACAGTATCTTCATGTCTCCCTGCGGTATTGGTGGTATTGTTCGTTACAGCTGGTGAACCAGTTAGTTCCCGTGCTCATGGGAAGGAGCTGTAAAATGCATAAATGGCTGCAAGTTGTCCTGCATGGACATGCAATATCTAGTAAGAACTGTGATTTTGGTGAGGCTTGTGGCATGATCCTTTTCTATGCCTGGTCACTCTTATGGGAGTTCTTTGGAAAGGGCCCAGCTTGGTTCCCTTTCTCTGGAGAACAGCCATTAGTTTTGTGGGCTGTTACTTGCGGGTGGTAGGGGAGCTGCTGTTATCTTTAATTTCTTTAAATCTGAGGTGACTTGTTCTTACTTTTTGTGCAATAGTCTGTACAGTATATTTTAATGAACAATGTCAAGCTAAAAGTGTTCAAATTTCTTATCTTTGTGAATACAAAGCATTCTGCTTGCGTAGAGATCTTGGGAGCCTTTAAAATGAATTGGAGATTCAGTTAATATGTGTTAGTAGACCAGATGTGTGCAGTATAGTTGGGTTTAAGATGCAGTGATTTTAGTTTGTTTGTTTATTTTTTAATTGTCCAACTCTTTTTTTTTTTTTCCCCCCCCCCAGGGGGGTCTGCCCAATCCTTCCTTCACTCTTTCACGCTGGCTAGCTCTGCTTTTAATCTACAAGTTGCCACACCAGGGGTAAGTGAGAGGTCACAATCGCTGACACTGTTATGTGCTTTGTGGATCTGGAAGCAGCTGGTACCTGGTGAATGGAGTTGTTTGTAATATAATGGGTTATAAAAAGGTTTGTAATAAAGAGGAGCTTTTCCTCTCTCCTATACATTAAGTCAATGAGTCCTCAAGCCCTTCGACCTTTGTTTTAGTTTAGACATATTCTAACCCTGTTGCACTCAGTTGCATTCCATATATGTACGTTGTAAACCTGTGCATAATTGTTAGCAAAACCAGGGGGATTTCCTGGTACAACTCAAAAGTTTTGGAAGTGTAGTCCTCAGTAATTAGTAGCAATAATGAAATGTTCTCCTTTGTTATGGTCTCTTGACAAATGCTGACAAACTCTAAGAACTTGGAAGATGACTTCTGTAAGTAGAGTCTGGTTTAAATCGTGGACCTAGCTGGCTGATACCGTGGCCCAATTGTGACAAGGGCTGCCATTTTCATGCCTAGATTGGGGGCTTTTTGTACCGTTGGCTGCTGCAGGCTGGAGAAACCATTCTTCAGCCAGCAGCAAAAGCCTGGCAGCCCGGGGGAAGAGAAAGGACAGAGGCGGGTAGGGGAGGGGATGTTTGCTCCTCTAGGTGGGAAAACCAAGGGGTGGGGGTATTGTAGGCATCTGGGGGGCTTCCTTGGCAGAAGACCCTGGCACTGGGTACTTGACATCCTCTGCACAAGTGTTCTCTCCCCCTGCCCCCCCATCCTTGGTGCCCCAGTTTTCCTACCCAAAGGAACAAACTGCTCTTCCCTTGCACAATGCAAGGGCCCTCCCAGCTTGCAACAGCCACCTTGTTACAATGAAATGCCATGATATGACCACTTGCTGGGGAACTCAGTTAATTTAATTTAGTGATTTCCTCCCCCCCAACAAAGAATTTGAAATTGGAATTTTTAACCAGGCCCTAGTTATAAAGGAGAAAAATTAGGTATTGTGTTCGTGGCTGCTTTGTTGTGTACAAAAATGACTGAAATGTTGAAGAAAAGGGAAAAAAAAAAGAATTTCTAGGTTTTTTTGCCTTGGAAGATTACTAGTTGGAGAACTAGGGAAATCATGGCATCATGAAAATCAAGAGAATGAAAACTGAGCAATAAAGAGAGGAAGGGGTTTTAATCCAGTTCTTTAAAACTTAAATCTGGATTTTCTACTCTACCTACTTTCTATTTGGTAAAGCTAAGAGAAGCCTTAAAGGAGCCTGGTTTGTCTCTCTCTAATTCTTAGGCTTGATGTTTTCTGCACTAACATAAATTAGTGCTCTAACTCCAAGGGTTGTTAGCCTTGTTAGACTTGAGCTACACATTGGAAAATGCCAGCTCTTGGCTTTTACTCTTTTTTTGACTACTGGAAAATAATAGAGCAGTTCTTCCGTTACAAAGAACTTGGACTATAGCAGGTCATGTTTTTGACACTATGGATTCCTATTTGAAATGTCTGGGTTGAGCTTGTGAATCATGTGCAAGTGTTTACACATCTAACATGCTTATATTGTGTGTCACCCTGGTTGAGAATCACAGCTCTGATTTATATTCTGATTACAGTTGGCAGTATTTAGTATCTCAGTTGGGGACAGAGGTATCACGTCTGTCTCTGATGCCCTAGGTCTTGAAGTGTTGTGTGTTCAGCAGAAGAGCAGGTTGGGAGTGGATGCGCAGGTCTGGTAGACTGGGTATACTAGCTTTGCATCAGCTGAGAGTTCCTCCTAATGTGGAAGAGTTTGATTTCCAGATGTGGCTACTGTGTAGCCTCTTCATGCCTCTCCTGAGCAGTGCAGTATGGCTGGAAGATCTGAAAAAAATCTTTTCTTTGGTGTTTTGTTAACTGTTTAATTGTACTGACTAATGCCTTGATCAAAGCATGTGTTTTTGTTTAAATATTTAGAATTTTTTTCTCATTTTTAAGGTGTTAAAAGGAAAACCATTGTCTGCCCACACAGTCAATCATGGGGTTACTTCTGATATTGAACATAAATTTCTTTTTGATTTGGTTGTGTGGATTAATGGAAAGATAAATTTGCATGCGGTTCACTGCAAATCATCCCCTGGTTATAAAAGGTTCAGCAAACAACTTTTCACTTTTAGCGTGACCTTGTAGGTTTTTGGTCATAGTTGTATGTAATGAAAGGTTGTCTTTTGCAGTTAAAGCGAAATTGTATTTGTGTAAAGACAATTAAAAAATAATGACTCGTTTTAATCCTGCATTGAGGCTTTCTCTTTGCCTCATACCCAAACTAGTAACCTGAATCAGTTGTGCCTATCCAACAAGCTCTGTGTGCATGTACAAAGTTAAAATCAGCGGCTAACACAGTAACACCAATGTAAAGAGATGGTTTCCTGTATAGCAACATTTGTGTGCCATGTTTGGGGGCTAGCATTGGGCAGTTTTCAGATGTTATGAACAGACGTATTCCAAACAGCAAAGGTACAGGTATTTCCAGCCAAAAAAAAGCTTGACCTTTGAAAAAGAGGAACGTTTTTAAAGAACTTTATTTTGAAGTGCTGCCTGAAAGATATGCATGCTCCTAGCCTACGCAGCACTCTGTTCTATTCCTCATTCTACCCCAGACCTGGGATTCAAAGCACTTCAAATGTATGTCTGTCTGTACTCTTAGGTGGTAGCCTGAGTGAACGTAGGCTCTTACAAAGTATATTTTTGCATGCAGAAGCTGATGCGTCTTTGAACCAGTTCATAGATTCATAGATGTAGAGTCGGAAGGGACCTAAGTAGATCTTCAAGTCCGACCCCCTGCCCTGGGCAGGAGAGAATACTGGGCTCATGTGACCTCAGCTAGGTAATTATCAAGCCTCCTCTTAAAGACCCCCAAGGTAGAAGGCCTTGGAAGTTGGTTCCAGATCCTAGCCGCCCTGACTGTGAAGTAGTGCCTTCTAATGTCCAGCCTAAACCTACTCTCAAACAACTTACGGCTGTTATTCCTTGTTACTTCAGGAGGCACTCGGGGGAACAGGGCCTCTCCCATTCCCTGCTGGTCCCCCTGGTAAGTTTATAGATGGCCACCAGGTCCCCCCTCAGCCTTCTCTTGTGAAGGCTGAACAGGTTCAGGTCCCATAGCCTCTCTTTGTAGTGTCTGCCCTGCTGTCCCTGGATCATGCAAGTGGCCCTCCTCTGGACCCTCTCAATGCTGTCTACATCCCTCCTGAGGTGCAGCGCCCAGAACTGGATGCAGTACTCCAACTGCGGCCTGTCCAGTGTCACATAGAGGGGGAGGATCACCTCCTTGGCCCTGCTTGAGATGCACCTATGGGTACATGACAAGGTGCAGTTAGCCTTCCTCACATGACCGTGTCTTCACATTGGTGGCCCATGTTCATTTTGGAATCGATAATGACTCCAAGATCTCTTTTCTGCCACTGTGCTTCTGAGAAGGGAGTTCCCCATTCTATAGGCATGCTGCTGGTTCTTACTGCCCAAGTGCAGCACCCTGCACTTGTCGGTATCCTATTCTCATTTGCCCACACCTGTAACCTGTCCAGGTCCAGTTAGACTTCTGGTGCCACCCTAACCTGCCTGTTGCCTGACTTCAGACTAATGCATCTAACTCTCTCACTGATCATATAAGCCTTACATAATAATCTTGATAGCCAGTAGACTTTGGGTTAATTTAAAAAAAAAAAAAAGGGTATTTTTGAAATTCCATTTTTCATGTTGTTCAGAAATGAAAATGAATAATAGAGGTTAAATCATTTCCACTTGCTTTTAGGTCAGTAATTCAAATTTGCTGTAGGCAAAGAAAAACTAAAATTACCATCTGGCAAATGTTTAGTGTTCTCCTAGTTTCTGTCGGTCTAGATTTTTAAATGTTAACATTACTGTTGTTAATCTTTTAAGAATAAAGGCTTACTACTTGCCATGGGAAAAGTCATGGATTTATTAGAGCAAACAAATGGAATGGTGAGAATCTTAGTTTAAAACAAATGATGCATAAAAACATACCTGTGGGGTGTTTTGTCCAGCAGAGTAGTAATACTTTAAAAGTATATAAAGATGAATCACAAAAATAACAATAAAAACAAATATATACAAATTCATGGGATAAATTATCTTTATAGCTGTGAGACAAGACTGATAAAAGTCTTCTTATGGGGGGGTGGAAAAGAACCCAAGTTGCAGAATTTGCCAAGGAAATGAAATAGCCTTTTTATTGCTATAGAGTTCTTATTACAATCTAGTTGATCTAGCCAGGTCACCAGCAACTGAAAACTCTTATGGTTGCCTGGTTGAAATGCATTCAGGCAGTCATAAAAATCTTCTCTATGTTTGATATGTTGGCTCTTTGAACAACTGTATTGCTTTTCCCCTGAGAGAAAACAAAACAACCTTGTAGTTTTGTCAGTATAACTGCATTTATATTAGGGGCTGTCTCACTAGTGTCATCAGAGAGGATTCACCTGACCAGCATGACTGGCAAAAATGTAATGGGTAGATCATAGATGCAGCCTTTTTACTAGGTAGGCCCTTCAGACCAAGGTTAAGGCATCTTGTGGTGAGACCTATCTTTTCTGTAAACACAGAGTCAGTTTGGACTTCAGTGAATATTTAGCTCTATTTTTAAATAATAGTAACAAAACCCAAGAAGCATGCTGGACAGTCAGAAATAAATTAAACAGACAACTATGTACTGATGTTAACTGCTGTCTTTGAATCATGATTTCATTAGGGGAAGCCAATTGACTTTGTAGATGTGAATGACAGCAACTTGCGTTGGATACAAGACTTCCGGCTGAAATCTTATGCAAATCCTGCGAAGTTGGAGTCAATTGATGGTGAGCGTCTTTTGGAATTCACTCTATGTATGTCATCTCTGTTTTGTTTCTTTAATAAACAAATACTCATCTTAAACCTCGAGGGAGAGGGGAGCAAAAAGGCGTGGTCTGGTGGATATCAGGGGGACAGTGATTCGATTAATTGATTCAGATCACTGTCTCGATTTGATTTGGCCGAATCTGAAGATTCGATGCTGATTCAGAGATTAGGCACAGCTTTAAATGTTTGAATCAGCCATAGACAGCTTTAAATGTTTTTTCTACACACCTCGAGGTACCAGGTGTGGCTCGTGAACATTGCAGTGGTGGGGCGGATGGAGTGTCCCACAGGAGCATGGGGTCTGGAAGTGGACCAGATGTACTTCTGGTCTACTTTCGGGTCTGCTGCTGAACACCTGGGAGATGCCACTGTCCCCCCAGCCCTGGCTTGGTGATCAGCGATGCGGGGGACCCTGGGTGCCCCCCCAGACCCAGGTGGCACCAGTTGTGGGGGGGGAGGGTCCACCACCAAGCATGCTGGTGCGCGCCCCCCCCCCCCCCCCCCCCCCGCCCCCCTC